GCCCTTTCTTGTAATCAAAACATCTTCTAACTATACAAACCTAAAAGCTTGAAAGAACATAGCTGGTTTATGGATCCTTATCCCAACTAGAATCCYGGAGTGTATGCTTATTAATAACGACTTATACAATTTGTTGCACCCCCCTTTAACTTTTTGAGTCTCTTGTTTGTTGATTGTGGATAACTAGAAAGATGCACAACCAATTTTCTTTGATTTTCATGTCTATTGGATATGGTAGAGTAAGATATCATACATGCTTATCATGACATCCAAATTGCCACATTCATCGTGTTGTTTTTGTGCCTTGAATTCTTTATTGCAACCCGCTTCTTGACTCATTCTGAATCAAGTTGAGAAATACCCAAAGGCAAAATTTCATAGTGGTTTATGGTGGAAGCATATAGTGGTATGGATCTGATCCATGTTCAGCTTATGGGTCCAACCCGAATTTGATATGTTATGTTGTTTGGGAGTTTTCTGTTTTATGTATCTTTTGCTTTGAAAAGAAGTTGAGTTTGAGAGATTGGGTATATTGGAGTTTAGGGTTTCTGTGAAAGAGGGTTTACACAACTCTGTAATCTCCATTGCTGTTTCTATAGTGAATTTCTGGTCCTCCTTCACCCATAGACATAGGCTATATGCCAAACCATGTAAATCTGTGTGTGCTCTGTTTCTATCTTCTCTTTATCTCCATTTTACTTCATTTTGTGTGCCATTCAAATCTATGTTTTTTTTGGGTTTTACATAACACATTAGAAAATGTGAAGTTGGCACTCAAGCCAAGGCGGATGCATTTTATTTACCATTAGTTATAGGTCACAAATGCAAAAGCACATGGTAGTATCTGGTTGACAATTTAATCTACAAATATTTTCTTTGTCAATGTATTTTTTATCTATTTTTACATCTTTTGAGTTTTGATTATTGGACTGGAGTCCTGACAGCATATTTGTTCTTTTTTTTTTAAATAATGGATAATGGATGTAAGCATCCTATAATATTCCTTTAATCAAATGGAATTTCCCAAAGATGCAGAAATGTTGGTGGATGGCATTCCTTTACTTATATGGAATCCATGATCAGGTCCTTTGGTCATGCATTGATTATGATTTGAAATGGAAGCTCTCAGCCAATTGACCTATACACCTTTTTGATCCTGATTCCTGACACCTTGTTAAAGTTGAGATCCCACATGGACCTTTGTGTAAAGCTTTGAATAAAAATAACAGTTTGTTGGGCATGGTTGAATTCAAGGAAACATCATCTCCTAAAATTCATAAACATCCTTACATCATATTTGTGTTCTAATCTTTTTGTTGTCATCATCCGATCTTCTAATAAAGTGAATGTGAGATTTCATACAAGGACATTATCTAAAAAAAGCTTTTGAATGTAGTTTTTTATCGTTGATAGTCAATTTTATTAAAAATGAATTAACAATATGTGCAACAGAATGTGCTAGCAATGCTTTAAAAACCGACCTGGAGGCCGAACAGTTTTTGCCTCTGGGTCGTGGGTCACTAGTTCGATTGTCTGGGTTGAATGGGTCAGATCGTGCCACATCAGCCATATGGAAATTCAAACATATATATGTATATACATGTATATATGTGTATAGATATGTATAAACATGTGTTTTATCAATGAATAATGTATAATTATGTTCTACATGTAATATATGTATTATTTTATATTTAATTTATGTTTTTTAATTCAGTTTTAAATTTTTTATTTGTGAAAAAATATTAAAAATTGCAATTTGAGGCAAATTTTTTTTTTGTTTTTTTGATTTTTTTTGCGAAAATAGCAACACAGAGATCTCGAAAAGTTACCCAAAATAAAAAAATACCTCAGTCAGACATTAGAGTGCAAAGTTATGGCCTCCCGAAGTTTGCATATACATTTAGTGTGCAACCCATGACCCGGTCATTGGATCGAACGGGTCAATGGTCCAACTGTCCGGGTTGGACGGGTTTTGACCTCCCTCCGGGTTTTACTCAAACCAGACCTAGAATCTTGCCTAGGTGACAGTTCGAGCAGTTCAACTGGCCGGGTCAACAGTGGGTTGAAAACACTGGGTGCTAGGTACCCCAAGAAAGAACCTATCGTTGTCTCGTTGAGCCTCCCAAAAACTTGTATGTACATTTTTTACATTACAAATTTCTCACCACACCCCAGAATAGTTGCTCTCTATCAACCCCTTATTTTGTCTTGGAATCAACCGAACCATTGGATGATCTAAATGCCTGGCTCAACTGGATCTCCATTATTACCTATTAATTCCTTGATCTCCCTCATTGTGTTCTCTTAAGGCCATGGTATCTGTTTCTCTTTTTTCAGCCACCACAACACAATTTTTAACCTCCTTCCACTATGAGGCTTGTGAAACTCAATGCTTTTGCCAATCTTAGTCCTTGTAATGCTGCCAGTAACTCTGCCCTTGTTGAATTTCCTTGACCCACTGGTCCTGAATATGGTGCAACAATATCACTATTGCCATTTAAGAAAACACCCCCTATTCCTAACCATCTAGGGTTCCTGCTATTACACCCATCAAAATCTAACTTTATTTCATTCATTTTTGGATGTTTCCACAGCAAGCTAATTTGAGGTTTAGCTGAAGGCAAGTTAGTTATCCAATACCAACCTCTAGTTATGTCCTTAAGAGTGAACGGCTTAAATAGGTTCAAGGTTAATGTGATACCCTCAAAGTAACACTCTCAATAATGGTGCTTGTATGTTCTTATAAAAAAAAAAAATAAAGGTGCTTATATGTCTCTTATTACCACAATACTACAGCGTTGTATACCTCCACATAATTCTCCGCTCCTCTTTGGTAATCTTGGCGAAGTAGCAGTGAAGAGGCTGTCCAAACACATTGGGGGGGGGGGGCGGACCTGCTACCACAAAGGGGAAAAAACCACTCCCAGTTACTAGCTTTGGATGTAGTTATTCCAAGAAATAAAATTATAGGTTGTTAATCTTTAAATTTTGTTCCAATTTTACATTTTCCCCTTACAGTAATTTTCCTTCATGTAGCAGTGGCACCCATTGTCTCATTAATTGGTATTGTTGTCATCATCTCCTTTGCATCTATGTCAACTCAAGACATGCTTGTGTATAATGATGGTAATGGAATATGAAATCCTCTTATCTAACAACCTAACTCTGGACATTGCTGTTCTCGTTTGACAGAGCTTGAAACAAAGAGGATCTTGCTTGAAATTTTCAAGGAGAAGCAGCAGAAGAATGCTGAAGCTAGATCTATCCCAAGCTTCTACAGAAAGGCATGCACTGTAGTTTTTACTTGTGTGGTTGACATAGTTATCTTTATTGCACGAGTGTATAATATGTTCTATATTAAAATAGTGATCTGGAATGGAAAAAATGATGGAATAAATACATTAGTCCTTACATTCTTTTCTCCTAGCCTGAGTTGTCAGAATCCTTGTTTTAGTGAAGTCTTAATTCTGATGTCTAATTTTGACTTCTATACAAATGCATACAGTATGTTATCTTTGAACAGACATGTAGGATCTTCACTGTCATTGCTGTAACTACCATTTATATATCATACCTCTATCATTTTGTTTCTAATTGTTCTTTGTTCTTTGTTTTTTTTTTTTCATTTTTATATGATACAGAAACCTGAAGAGGGATCTATCAGTCATAGAGTCCAAAGACTTGCAAAGTACCGTTTTCTGAAGGTAGTTTTCTGTAATTGATTTTATTTTCCAGCTTGTGATTGTTATTGTTGCTGATGTTTTCATATGAATTTCAAACTTTGCTATTTGCAGATGTCTTTTTACCAGACAACACTTTGTCTGAACTTAAAATCATTTAGAACTTAGAAGCTATTTCATCTTTTGTCCCAAATGTAGTTTTTGATCTTAACTGCACCAGATCAATGCAGTTCTCTTTAATTTATTTTCTTTGTTTAAACAATAAAAAAACTTATTTCCTTAGTTTATTTGCTTTATTTTCTTTTATGAACTATTATTTTGAAAATCTTATGACAGTTTGGCCCTAAATTCCTTGCTTTGCTGGCAGAAACAATCAGATCTTTTGCTTAATGCTGATGATTTAGATGCTATGTGGGTATGCTTAAGAGAAAACTGTGTGATTGATGATGCTACTGGTGCTGAGAAGGTTTGCATACCCTTTCAAGGAATCTTACTTTCATTTTTGGGCCATGCCATATTAAATTTGCTTGTTGGAATTCAGTGTTCCTTTTTCAAGTACTGAGACTTGGGAATTGTAGGTTCTATTTTGTAATGATGTCTTTATGCTAAGAAATTAAATCATGGCCTAACTTTGTTCTGCTCTGTGTTTCACCTTAAAGATTGTTTGAAATTTCTACCATTACAAACATTTATTGTTAGCTTACATTTATTTTTGGAAAAGATACTTAAAGTTGTTAGCAGTTGGTTATTAGTATGAAGAAGGCAAAAATTCCAATTCTATGGTTTGGCTGCCCCATATGTTACCCATAGAGCTGTCATGTGAATATAGTTCAAATGGTCTGCCATGCACTACTGTTTCTTGTCATATTCTGGTATATATATATTTTTTGCTTGAAAGCATGTTATGCATTTTTTTTTCAAATTTCAATTGCAAAATGTATAATTATGTCTTCTGTTGTGCATTTCAGCACTACTTGTTTGGACTTCTGGAATATATGGCTTGAATTGTTGCAAGAATAATTTCATTGACACAGTTGGCCTAGTCAGATGTTTAACTAGTTTGTGAGCTCATAAAAGCTCAGTCCATCATTACTTAGTGGTGGAAAAGAACTTGCAAACAGTTGGTAGGTCCTTCGAAGCTTCTTGTTCATGATTGGGAGGCTATTAGCCCCTAGCTTGAATTCTATATTCAGCTGGACCTTAGATCAATGCATGCCCTTCCTAATGTTCTAGCTAGAGGGAATTCATAGACAATCTTTGTGCTGGGTCTCATACCCCTTTGGCCAATGTTGCTCTTGTTATCTTTTTTGTTTTTGTTCTGAGTTGCTCTAGGTGTTGCCTTAACACTTCCTCGTTGTATTTTTATTTTCCTCAATGAAAAATTTTCTTTTGCTTATCAAAAGAAAAAAGAAACCTTTTTTTGGTGATGGTTGCAAGTTTGGGGAGGCTGTAAGACTAGCTCTTTTTTCTCAGTTGGGGGGGGGGGGGTTGATATCTCTCTTGTATTTTTATTTCACTTGATCTTTTTACTTACTTGATTTAATGAAATTCTAAGCAATTAACGACAAGGAAAGCCCAGTTCCTAGAGATTCGGACAAACTATGGCATTTGACTATCAAAAGCATACATGGATTTTCTTAGGACATGAGCGTAAACCCAAGAACAACTCCTACTTGGATATAATGTCTGTTCTTCCCTCTTTCCTGCCTTTCCTTACGATTGGTGTACTTTCTGGTCATAAAACCAAATATTTGGAGGTGTTTTTTGGAATGAGGAGGGAGGAATTATTGCTCTCTGTGGAGAAATAGACTAGTATTTTAGTGAAGTCCCTGCCATTATCAGTTGTCTTTTCTTTTATTTACTTGTTATTAGTTTTTTGGGCTTATTATAATTTCTGTTTATTAGTATTTCTGGGCCTTACTGGGCCTATTATTATTTCTGTTATTATTGATTAAGGAGTGTGTTGGGTGGCAGGGGCATATATGTCTTTATGTTTATTGTTTTAATAGAAGCATATAAATTAAAATTCTGGGCGGCAGAAACCAATTCTATTCTGCGCCCTTTTCTTCTTCACATTCTTCTTCTTCTCTTCTCCTTCTCTCTTCTTCTTCTGTTATTTCCTTTTGTTTTTCCTGCTGAAGCTACATCAAAATTCTGATCAACTGAGAACAGCACCCGCCGTCTTGGTATCAGAACCAGGTATAGGGCTTGCTAGGGCTCCTATGTAGGCTTCTTCCAGTCGGCCACATGAGGATGCATTAGGGCTGGATTCTTTAGACTGTCTTGCCTGATTCTTGGAGGTTGATTGGAGAAATTCTTGCTGCCCAAGATCTGCAATCTTGGAGATCACCAATAACCAGGAAGAATCAGAGTTTTTTGGATCAGTTTAAGGTTTTTGGGGCTAAACTTTCAATTGGTACTGGCGCCCAGTGGTTTCTGAGTTAAAAACGGTCACTTTATGAGATCGGCAGCTTGTAGGAAGATATTGAAACCTTCTGGAAGGAGCGTCTGGGTCTTTGCCTTTTCTCTCTAGACTGATTCTAGGGTTTCTACTGAGAACAGGTCAGTTTAGTGTTTTTGACCTATCCCATTTATTTCTTCTGTCCTGTTTTCAGTTCTGGACTGTTAAGGGAGTAGTTCAGTCTTGGAGTTTGTACTGGATTACTGTTAAAGTTGTGTTTCAGATCTGTTAAGGGAGTTTTTTGAGGTCTTTGTGGTGTGATCAGTATGGAAATAGGTGAGAAGGAACCAAAATCCTTTGGAGAAAGATCCATGGGGTTTGGGAGTATGTCAGATAATACTTTTCAGATCACTACTGTTAAATTTGATGGCACAAATTACCTGGAATGGGCCCAATCAGCCATGGTGGCCATTGGGGGAAGGGGAAAGCTTGGATATGTAACTGGAGACATTAAAGAACCAGCAAAGGGAGACTCAACCTATGCAAAATGGGTTCAAGAAAACTATCTAGTGATGACTTGGCTTTGCAACTCTATGTGGCCACACATCAGTAGAAATTACTTATGGGTGAAGACTACTGCTAAGGAAATCTAGGAAAATATGAAGGAAACCTACTCACAGCCCTTTAATTCAGATTACGATATTGTAAGGCAACAGTTACTCACTAGGGACAGTGTCACCTTGTCTCAAGCCTATTCACTAATACATAGGGAAGAGAGCAGAAGGAAAGTTATGCTACAAATTCCACCCGTGGAATTAGCCTTGGCAGCAGTGAAGTCAAAATCTATTAGTGATAAGGAGAGGGAAATGAAAAGGGAAGACAAGAGGGATATGGTGTGTGATCATTGTAAGAAGCCAAAGCACACTAGAGACACTTGTTGGAAGTTGTGTTCTCATCTTGTTCTAGCAAGATTCAATAATAAGAAGGGGAATGCCAATGCAGCAGTTACTACTGATTGTGCATCTTCCTCTATTGCAAAACCCACATCCCTAGATGCATTAGCTGCAGTCAGAGCTGCCTTAGCTCAGTTAGAGTGTGAAGTTGGAGCCTCAGGATCATCTCAGTCTTCAACTGCAACTGTTTGCTGGAATACAGCAGCCGAAGAAGAAGAAGAAGAAGAAGAAGAGAAGATTTGAGAAAGGCAGCTATTTCTCTTCAGCCGGCCCTACACTCTTATATAGATGATTATAAAATAATGTTACATGAATGGACTAGAATGCCCCTGATTAGTGATGGGACACCTAGACAAATAAAACAACTGAAACATTAAACAAGTTTAGGCCCAATAACTAAGAACTTAAGACACAAATATGACTAACATAAACA